GAGCCACGTCATGGGCTGGGGGTCACTGGAGTGCATCCCACTTTGGCAACAACCTTTATTATCCCTGACATGGCTCATAAGGAAACCAGGATTGGGACAAGCAAACTCTTACAGCCCATCTAATAATTCCCTTCTGGCTGCCACATTGTGTGAGATCTGTAGCCTAGGAAAACACACTGAGGTTGGTTGGAGAACTAGGAATCTGATATTCCAAATATGTGCTAGCACTTCTCATGTACGTTAGTAACTCCTGTCACAAAGCACACTGGTAAATATGGCCTTTAAAGTTTTAAAAGGTAATAAAGCTGACAGTTCACATGCACATTCATTAGCCAGTATCACACTGTACTAGAAAATTTTATTGGATAATCTTTTTTTCTAATTAAAATGTAAACAAGCAAATTTCTTTGATAAAATGAAGCCACAGTCTCAGCAAGAAAGAATTCAAGATTTCACACAGATCATACCTATGATCTCAAGTCAAATCACTGCAAGGTTAGAAAAATGGAATTAAGGTGGAGTTTAAGTAAATTTCAATATAGACAGGGATGGAAAAGCACAAATAGTGTATCAAAAATTCTGCCTCATAATGACATCATCCACTAGACATGACTGTTTTATGTGTTGGCCTTACAAGAGATAAAAATAATTTTCAAACAGACAGAATCTCTTTCCCCCACTACAAGAATTTTTTCTGTTTTCTCTATTAACCCAGATTGAAAACCTGTCAGTTCTTGGACAAAGAGCTAAATTTATGCCTAGTGTAAAGCAATGAAACTATACTTTTCATTATACATATGTTGTAACATTCTTTATATAAATTCTGGCTTGAAATATATAGTCATTTTTATCTGTTATATGTGTCATGATTTAATTAAATACTTCTGCAACTTCATGCAATCACAGTTGAAGGCAATCACTGTTCAACAAAATTGACTGAAGCTGTTGATTGTGCCTTTATCTACCCTGGCTGAATCTGAGCCTGTAATTCTCTGCCTCTGGTGACAAAGATGGAAGTGATATAATTTACACATGGAGCAACTATTGCCTGCTCTAATGGCTACACAGTACAGTGTGAAAATGCCAGCAGCGTTGACCACACCCCTGCTTCCATTGCTCCACCCCAGAAGTAGAATTGTGTTGGTGGTGAATTACAAGAGCTGTGTTTCCTAGCCCAGGCAAGGCCATGATTATCAGAATTATTTGAAGTTAATATTTGATTAATGCTGGCAATATTGTAGAAGTGATTTCCACTAGACAACATCTAATTATTTAATTATTTCCCATTATTCATGGAATGAAACAATTCAAAACAAACAGCTAGAATGAATGTTTGCAGGAAGCTCATAAACATCAATTCATACATGTAGAAATCTTACTAAAATTATATCAAGCTGGCCTGTTGAACTTGAAAGGCGTATTTTATCCCAATCAATGCATAAAAGTAAAATTATCTATAACTAAGGCATGTTTCTCTGCTGTACAGTTCAGCCGTAATGATCCCCACACACTGCACTTGCACATCAATTATGATAATCATAATCACGGTCGTTAAGCTGAATGTTCATTATTATCAGGATGCTGGTGACAGCAGATTCAATCACCGGCTGCAATGGGCAGGCAGTCACAGTCCCACCCAAGTTTCTGCAGACAGCGTTGTGCCACATTAAATCTACGATGTGTTCCACATCCCACTCCATTCCAAAAGCTGTAGACGGTAAAGGTCAACTTTATGTTCTGTGCAATATGCTTAGGTTCTCTAAATTAATTCTTTGCAGTCCTGGGTATTTTTATGCTTTGTAGATAATAAAATTCTGTTTCGGGCCAAAATGCCTGTGCAAATAATGAAACTGTGATTCAGTTGTACTGTAATTCACCTATAATAAGGCATCAGAGGGAAGAATCTATCAGAATGGAACATCTTAAACCATCACTTCCTGAATTTTACAAATAAGAAAAAATTAAATGCTGCCATTAAAGTCAGTTTTCTAAAATGCATATGCAAACTAATTCCAATAGCGATTAAAGACTGTAAGCTATTATTTCTGCCTCACCAAATATGAACATATGTGAGTGTTTTGATAGCTAAAAGACTATAGTTAGTGTATTTGATCCCTTGGCTATCCATCTACACTAGAACCTATCATTGTAGATTAAATTCCTAGCGACTAGCAAATTTTTTATATTGAAGCTTCTTACATTAATCCTATCAAAGGCATTCCTATGTATTGAGATAGATGGTGTAAAACTTAAAATATATAAGCAGTTTTATGTTTTAAACTGATTTACTGAGTAAACTAACTAGATTCAGTTTTACTAAAGGTCTAGTATTTCCATTCCCTCCTTGTTTATAATGAAGAATTGGAACAGAACACTTTTTCCCTTAACTCAAACTTCTTTGAAATGTAAACAGAGTGAGATAAAAATATCCAGATTATAACTAGATGAAAAAAGAACTACTAACTTTTCCTCACATAGATACGGTAATTATTATGTTTAGAGGAAGTCTATGCTAATATCCTTTCATTTTCTGGAAGAAATGTAACAAGGTAATATTTTTCATTGTTGCTCATTTTGCTTCTAAAGTAATTATATAATTTACATACTAATCTTTTTGTGACTTGAATTAAATTGCATAGTAATAAACACATGAAAACCTCCAGAAAATACAACTAGGATGTGCTCGTGCACACCCACACACACACACACACACACACACACAAAGAAACTTTCTGTACTTAATATTAAAAAAAGCCACCTAATATCAACTAACATTAAATAATTCCTCAGCATCTCAGACAGGTCACTGATGAACTGACCACTGACTTGACTCCTTGGAAGAACTTACACAGCCTTATCAGCAACAACACAAGAAACTTGTGTAGCATAAGACTGTTAGAAACTGAACAGAGATCATGGCAGTGTTATCAGTTATTTAGGTTGTAATAGAGGCTGCATCCACAAAGATACAACCTTGTGGTAAACTCAAAAGAGGGTTATGTTCAGCAGACAAGCTATTAAGCAAAAACCCTTTTTGTTTTCTACTATTTTTTTACATGCCAGTCAGTCTTGTGATTCATTAGAACAGATAATTTTGTTCATTGCATTGATATATGCAAAGTTTTCATAGAGTTTAGAAATAAGTGACACAGAGTTCTATCAAATTTAACAGTTAGGAAAGTATGACCTCGCACCTGCTTATAGGCCTTTTTCCATTAAACTGCCATGAGGAGTTTGAGGTTTTGAGGTTCGTTTTTGGATTTTTTCCTGATAATAATGACCCTTTAAAGCATTAGGTATGTCATAAATAGCCCTTTTCTCCTCTTATCTCTCTGCTGGGGCAAGGGGCTCCTAATGGAAGCTTCATATTGATTTAGAATTGGGGTTGGAATGCTCGGTGTCATGTTGGGTTAATGTATACAGCCATTGACCACCAGAGATTTAGGTTGGTATCTATCCAAGATCACAAGTAGAGTTTTTAGCTAAGCCCATGGTTTATATATGTGTGATATGATATACAGTATGAATATCTTTAGGTTTTTTATATCGTCATCTGAGCCTGAGCAAAAACTGCTAAGAACTGGAAAAGAAAGTCTTTACAGGACATACAAGCACCAGAAATAAGACATTTAGGTAGTTTTTATATATCATACTTATACTGTAGGACTACAGCCAGTCATATCTTCCACTCCTTGCCTTTGAAATTCAGAAATATTTTTGTTTAATTTTTGATGTTCTATTTGCAAGGAGATACACTTAATGCATGTTGAAATACCAAAACTTTACTCTGAGCTCATTTTTAAACCTTAAAGTTTTGAGGAAAAATCTTTTTAAAATATTCCTTCTCAAACTAAGATTCCTTGGAGCTTGCTGTATATTTACAAAGGTTAAACTGCTCTCAAGGAAATAATTAATTATATCTTACAAAATTCCATAATTGTTTAGGTAGGAAGAGATCTCTCGAGATCACCCTCTATAGCCCCCCTACTCAGCTAGAGCAGGTTGCCTAGACCATGGATATATCCAAAGGTAAAGATTATCCAACCTCTCTGGGCAACTTGTGCCAGTGCTCTGTCACCCACACAGAAAAAGAAAAAGAAGAATTAAAAAAATAGTGTTTTCTTGTGTTCAGATGGAATTTCATGCACTTCACTTGTGTTCATTGACTCTTGTCACTGGACACTTATGGAGTCTGAGAGAAGTCTGGGGTCCTGTTCTTCCTTTGCTCTTATCAGGTGTTTACGCACTTCAATAACATCTCCCCTGTACCTTCTCTTTTCCAGACTGAAGTGTTCCAGCTGTCTCAGCCTCTGCTCCTACAAAAGATGCTCCAGTCCCCTAACTGTATGGGTAGAGAGTGCAGCACAGAGCCAAAGTCCATTACCCTTTTTGTACTCAGAAATTTTCAAGTGATTAAGATACCTAATACAAATAGGAGTAATGCAAACTCTACACAAACTCATGTTCTTAGAAAAATTACCTCTTACAGCACTACAAAACCAGACATATATGAGATGCTCCTGACAAAGCAGGCAATTTAATGAGGCCTTCTTAAAATAAAAAACAGCTATTCACTAGTTTTAAGATTTTTCCAAAGAATGTAAGCACTAAAATATTGTGCTGTTTTAATCAGGTTTTCCTATAATTTCTTGAAGTTTATCCTAATGTGTAAGAGTAAATATACAACCTCTCTTAAATCAGAAAAGGCAATTCAAACAGAATGAAACTTAGGAAAATGCATATAACTGAAGGTTTACTTACTCACGGTCTTAAATCCTGATCTTGTAGGACCAACAGGTGTTGAATTCCCTCAAATTGAATTTACCAGAGAGTCAAGGAAATTTCACATCCCATCACAGCTCTAACTACATGATTTTATAACATGCTAGAAAGAATCCTGTTGGATTCCATGATAGTTGGATCATACTGAAATTCACTTAGTTCTAATAAAACATCAATCTAAAAAAAGTAAATAAATTCTTGACTTTGCAGTGACTTACCTTGTCTGCTATCCACTTCTTAGGATATACTTCTCTGAAATATTTAGTTCCATAAGCTTCTTTGCCATATTTGCCTGACTTAAAAAGTGATGGCTCATACTTCTCATAATTTTTATGATATGAAGAAAATGGCAGAAACCTGAAATTAAAGAATATTTTAGAATCAGTTATGCTCTTCTCTAGATGCCACAGGATTGATGTAAATCCATGCTGCAGGAGATGAAGTGTACACATGTTCCTGATATTTTTCACTATCTTAATGTTTCCTCTCAGTATTGTGAGAGTATTACTGCAACTTCTCCTGTAGCCTTTTTCAGAATAAAATTGGAGCAAAGAGACAGTGAGTTTCAACAGGATAAAATCAAGACTTTGTGCACAAGGATCTAACTTGGTTCACTTGCATGAGTAGATTATTACTTTGTGTGTATCTGTACTGACAACTGGTGGGATGTGTGCAGGACGATCAGGGGCCCCTTTGCTGGGAGGTGCCTGCTGATGCCTCAGGTCCTAGCAGAGAGTGCAGCCTGTGCCAGCTGCCAGTGGCAGGCACTCTCCATGCACGGGGACAGACATCACCTCTGGAGATAGGCATCCTTGCTTTGTCAGAGCCAAAGCTAAATAAACCATATTCTCATTAGCAGAACAGAAACTTGCTCATATTTATAAACCACAAAACAGAGAAATTGTTTCTTCAGAATTCACAGACTGTGTACTTTACTCTTAGGTTATAATTATGTCCTAATTAGCAATCTTTTTGAGCCAGGTTCTTTCATTTTCGGTGATAATGATGATGGACTTGCTGCTTAGATAGTGCCAGTGAGCAGTGCAGCTCCAGCTACCTGCTGGAAGGGGTTTTCAGATGGATGTCCCTAACTGCCAGGGACAACCAGAGGTTTTTTGGGTAGGTTCCACAGCAAACTGTATGAAGGAAAGTGAAAAACATCTTGTATATAGAAGATCTGCAAGACACCCTACAAACACATCTTAGTTCCATCTATTCCAGTTTCCAGGAGAGTCATGAGAGCAAACAAGTACATTTTGCTATAAAGCAAAACACTGGAAATTAAGTTTATCATTGCTGATATTCTGAAAAAAAATCAACATGTGTTCTTAATTCTAGAAGTGCAGGAAAAAAATCTCGGTAAAATTAGAATGATATGCTTCAGAAGTCAAAAATATCACTTTTAAATCCTATGACAAGAAGTGTAGCTAATTAGAACCCTTCCTCAGCTGAAACCTTTTCAGAATCCAGAGTCCCCATAAGAGTTAGGCAAAGAAAGTTTTATAAAAATGAGGATTAAAGTAGTCTTCTTTGTCTCTCAGCTGATACAGATGCAGAAAACTAATTGTTTTGATTAACTGATTTATCGACAACTGTTTGAGTGGTTTTGAAAATTATTTTTCTTTCTTTCCACCTCATAAAAAGAAATGGTTTGAGAATCTCACCAGCTGTATCAACTTCTTCTATCACGTGCCACAAACACATGCCATGTAAAGTTAGTAAAAGGAAAACCCTGAGTTAGCAGACTTTAAAATAATAAAAAGCTATAGTAGCATGTGTATACCCATGGGAAAGAACACCCTCACACAAGACAGATTAGGGTACTTGTAATGCTAATTTGCACATGGGATGGCCATCACACACACACAAAAATTAATGTGGCCCCAGTGTCCCAGAGAATACATCGAAGGTGCTGTGAGCCGGCTGCTCCACTTGCAGTTTTTATCACTTCTGAATTGCATTTTAATAGTACATTTTTCTTTTGTTCAGACATGAAAGAAAATTGGCTTTCTCAGGGGATTGGATAGCTGAGAAGACAAGGCTTGCAGTTTTGGGATTTACCCATATATGCACAGAATTTAGTTGAGCCAGAGCATTCATAATTTAATATGAATTTCTGTAAAATGCATTACAGACAAAATAATTAAAAATCTTGAGAAAAGTAGAAGTAAATTATTATCATTTTCCCAAAATAAAAAATTCTACATAGAGGTTTTGATTTTACTGTGGATCATTTAATCTTTGTCTTTTGGCAAAAAAATTCTCAGAGTAATGTAGGTTCTATGATTCAAAAAAAAAAACCCCAAAATTAACACTTTGAGACATAACAAGCAGTTATTTTCTTTTAAATGAAAGAAAAAAATATAATAGAGGATAATGGTATCAAGTAGAAGCTTTTTCTTCTGTTTACAGTTCTGCTCTCAGAGTCAGGGGGCAAATCCTTAAAGTGATGATTCTCTAACAACATGCTTGTAAATTCAGTGTTTGCTTAAAGTGAGAATTTACCTTATGTGAATAAGTAATTAAAAGAATTGCAACAATTTTTTGTCCTAAGTAGGGTAACCAAATTAATGGGAGTAATACCAAAGTCGTTATATCCCCCCAAACCATAATAATAACAAGAAGTAATAGCACTGCAAAACACTTCAGTAATGTTATTATGTTCTGTACTTCTTTGTATACACCTGATACAGCTTGTCCCAAAATTAACGACAGTATGTTCTCCAAAAGTGACAGAAGAGAGTGATGGAAGAAGAACATTAAATTCAGACCAGGATGCCATTATCAACTGTACAAGTTTAGATTTCAATAGTTTAGATTTCAAAACATTCACTCATTTTTCCTACATCTAGTTTTCAGCTTTTCCTTGTGATTTAAGTGTAAATTCAGAAATTCTTAAATGTTTTCAGTTAACATGACAGAGACAGAAGTACCAATCAAAAAATAATTAAATTCTGTATTGATGTTTTATTGGGCTACAAGAAAAAGTCAGTATAAGCTGAGACTTCCCAAATGATGACTTAATGGAAGGTGAACTTTCTCTAAATAAATATATTGAAAAATGAAAAATTATTTAATATCAGCCTGAATGAGAAATATGTCAAAGGATACAATCAAAATGAGGAAAGGGTTGGAACCAGAAATGAGAAACTACAAATGGCAGTATTACTCATACATAACCTGAAAAGGATCAGGACCAAGGCTGGCTGTGTCACTGGTGATGAAGACCAGCTGCACTGCTGCTGGGACCCCAACCTAATTAGCCTAAGAAGACTTAGAAGGCTTCTCTTAGTAGCCAAACCAGCTGCTAGAGGTATTTAAATTTCAAAGACACTACAGATATTTGTTGCTAACAAAAATAAAAATGTTTTTATCTCTCATCCTGTCCTGGACCTTCCTTCTACTAGCAATTTCATCTTTCTAAACCTTTTTTCCCCTCACATGTTTACACTCCCCCTCCAGGATTTTTATTCCTACATTCCTCACCTACCATTTCTTCCCTTTAGTCTGCCTCTTTTATTGCAATCTCTCTTACTACTTTGACAGAAGATGGAAAAGGCTTTTTACATGCTGAAGGTTTTTGAACTGGGTTGACAGAGATGACAGGAGCAGCAGCAGGAACTGGTTTCTGGTGTCTATGGCAGTGTGAGAGGAGCACAGCAGCGCAAGCAGGAAGGAGAATTTCCCAGGTCCATCACTGACTGCTGGGCAACAGTGTCCCAATGCTATATGGAACCTACCAATAGGACATAGGACAGAGGCAGTGACTTTTTATTGAAATTTAAATGGCCACAATAAACTGGAGTGGTCCTCAGCGTGTTCTCTGAATCTGCCCAAGAGGCAAAATCCCAGCAGTTTAGTGGAGCAAGCAGGTAATCCTGATCCCAGAAAAGCTTCAAAACATTCCCAGGGTTCTGAGAAAGATCTGCCAGATCTACTGCTGGACTGCCACACATGCTGCACTGCCAGGGCACAGTTAGAAATATAAAACAGAGCATTGTTACATGGCTTTTCAAACTTTTACATTTGTATGTACTGTACATTTTTTAATTTAGTAGGAAAAATGCCAGCAAAGTATTAGCTCTATGACATTGCTAATTTTTTATCTAAAGTGTTTTTATACAATACCAATTCAATTCTTTGTTGTCTTGATTTAATTCAAATTCATCTCGCTTTGAAGAATTCCATGAGCAATTAGCTCCAAACAAGCCATGCTTCTCTATCAGAAATCTGTGAATATTTTATCTTCTTCTTTTTCTTTAATAAAACACGACGTTAATTTTAAGCTTTCAAATTTGTATTATACCTGAAGTAATTTTTTCATCAAATCCAATCTTTTCACTTGGGGAACAAAGAAGGAAGCATAATGGTTTTCCCATAGCCAAACAACTGCAGCAGGGCAGACATTATTTACTTTACAATGCATGTATATTAAAATCAAAGTGTTAGATACAAGAATAAAGATGGAATATTTTATTTAGCATATCTAGTGACATTATCTTTAGTGCACTGGTTTTGCCACGAGAAGCCCATTTGGGTGTCTTAGTACAAATATTGTTTCTGGTAATATACTAAATGCACGGTTTATTGAAAAAGTATCAATCACTTTGATTGTAACATCAGTAAATCTAAAAATTCTCTGGCTATTTTTATTTAACCCCTGTCTGCAATAATGTAATGTGGCAAATAAAAGCACAGCCTGGTTCCTGTAGGAAGTAAAAGAGATCTCTTCTGCAGCAAATTCCGGAACTTCTTAATTATACACAGACTTATTATCTGCATTCCCAGTGTTATAAAGTACCAGAACTTCATTAGAAAAATTAAGATGGAAAAATGAAGGCTCTACTTTGTAAATTTCCAGTGGAAATTAGCTGGAAGAAGCAGAGGAATACTGGATCAAAAGAGGGTAATCATGCTTAACTGTGCCCTAGAGCACCCGCATGTATAATACGATTTGCACAGTAACTACCTCTCCTATTACTGCTTGTTTGGAGTATTCTGTGTTAATGGGGTTAGCTAATTTAGTATTTTAACTTAAAAAGACTCTGCTGATTAATAAATGTTGCACACTGTGCTAGTAATTAAAATAAATGGAAGAGTTACAAATAGAAGTTGAATTGTTAAGAAAACATTATCTGAAAATATATGATAATCCCTGTTTATCATAATACAATAACAGTCCGGAAAATATGCAAATTGCTGAAGTTGCAAAGCATAAGACAAACTAAGTATAATTTGAAAAAAGTTTTCAGATGTGCTGTGTTTGTATGACAAAAAAATGTAGTAGCCATTTTCACTGCAGCTAAGTCAGAGACACAGTAAAAGATTTTATAACTCTAGAAATTAAAAGATTTTTTAAAAACTCTAAACCTGAAAGTGACTTGCATTTTAAGTTTTCTTACAATTAATACCAGGCAGCTCATAACATTGGTGCTCTCCAAGTACAGAGCTTATTCAGGTCACTAATTTCTCTGCAGGTGTATCTGTTCTGCCCAGCACAGGGCAGCACAACAGCACCTCAGCTGCTCCAAAGAAAACCACAATCTTGCTGGAAATAAGTCCATGAGGAGCTGGGTGCTGCTGTATTCACACAGCACGGGAGAGGCAGGATGTGCAAACATTGCTGCACACCAGTGAACCAGTGTGACCAGGACCAGGCTGTGCATCTTCAGCACAGCACTGAGCACAGACACAGCCAGAAGCTGAGGTAATGTTTCTGATGTCATGCCAGAATAAATTAGGAAACCTAGGCCTTACATTCTTGCTATCACCACACTGCATCTTGTTCTGATGTTTGCTGACTTCAAAAAGATGTTTAATAGTATACTTCGAAACATGAGGCATATTATATGAGACAAATTTCATCTAAGTTAATGAAAATAATTTACATTTTTGTTCTCTGGAAAATTAGGCCAGCATGCGCCTGCACACAACTGAGGAAACTTTTTATGCTTCATCTAAATCTGCTGGATCCAGCAGTTGTCTCAAACTAGACACTATATTAAGTAGCCATCCCAAAGGAATGCAATTGTCATTCTTATACAAGTGGAGGGGGAAATCACTTCATTTATATGAAAAATAGCCCAATAAGGTAGTAACAGCTTCAATTACATGAGAAAAAGAAATCATTTTTGTTAGGCTGGATAACCCAGTTGCTTTTCCATTACAGAAAAGGAAATTCCAACAGTTGTTTTAAGTGAGGACAGTATATTCTCTTTTGGTTTCATTTTTACTGCTTCTGCCTGCCTCAAAATCTCACAACTTTTCCAAATCTTTTGTGCATTTTATCAAAAGCAAGAACTTTCTCAGAGTTTGCAACACTCATCCTATCATCCTGTAAACAACCACTGATAATTAGAGGTTTGTGAGAATTCTGAATGTTGCTGAAAATTTCAGGTACATGCCAACAATCTTTTTGTCTTAAGAGACCCAACACAATACCTACTCTGGAAATATACATATCAATGCAAATGTCATTCATGCAAACACAAGCTTTCTCAATAAATGCCACATACTTCTGCTGCTCATTCTCTCTTTATTTTCTAAAACAGAAAAATAATCAGCATAGGAAGCACTACCAGGAAGAAATAAAGTCCCAAAGTACACAATTACATAGCAAGAAACAGAAATTTGTCAATTCATAATAGACACTGCTGAGAAAAAACTACTGTAGAATCTGAGTAACTCTTTGCTGGCTCCTCCCTGGAGACCAACATCCCATGCAGCAGCTGCAGCATTACCAGTGAGCATTAGTCCTGGTGATGACCTGCAGCTCTGTCATCACCTTTTCAAGGTTACAGATGTGACCCTTGCATGGCTGGTTGAATAAGAAGCACAAATGGAATGATCACAGCCTGAAAATGTATAATACACTCTGCTTTTAGTGTGCATGAAGCTGGGAATCATTGATTGTTGGGACATTGCTTCTGTGCATTAAGGATGGCATTAAATGCTTCCTTACCTATAAGGTAAATAAAGACCCACATGAAATAATATCTACCAAAATTGGAGGCTTCAAATTTAAACTGTACAAGAGCAAATCTTCACAATTCCCTCACTGAAGAGTCAGTGAAACATTTATTGCAAGGTCTGACCTTCTGAAAGTGTTGACACAGTAATGTCTGGGGTAAACTTCATCAAATAAAGACTGGGCAATGTAGTCATGTCTATAAATGAAGGACATCATCTAACCTCAGTTTGAATGCATCAATCACAACTAATTCAGCAAAGAAAACACTTTAAATGAGAGGTAGCATATTAATTACTACCTAGTAATAGGGGTTCTTTTAAATTTCACCAGCAGAAATTTTATATAAAAATGAAAATGAAAAAAACCAGAAATTTATGCTGAGATGTGAAAATTAAGCTGTTTCCTCCTCCGCATACCAGTACATGAAAGAATACAGAGAGAAATAGAAAAGGGGAGAATATTTGTACTTGGAACTGAACTCACTTATGATTTTAGTATGAAATAAATAAAGGGTGCTATCTCTCACTAAACAAACAAACAGAAAAACCCACAAAAAAACAACTAAACAAAAAAAACCCCATCAAAAATGTTGTCCAGAAGTGAAAAAGTAGTCTAAATAAAATATTTTTTGAATTTCAAAACTGTTTCTGAATAGAATTTTCTTTCAAAGTTACTATTAATTTTAAATTGGGGGAAACGGTCCAAAAATAAAAACATAGAAGTTAAACCATGTAAACACAATTGATTCTGGCACTCTTAAGTCCCAGTCCTGAATCTGACACATAGCAATATGGAGCTGATAAAAAGGCATGAAACAGATCAAAGATAGCAAAACATCATGTGCCAGTGATCACAGGCTGCTCATGAGGAAAAGTGATTCCCTTCTGTCCTGAATTTTGTATTGAAGGGCCAAAGGATTGCCAAGAGCAGTGAATTCAATGAAAAGTTTGGCAAAACATAATTCTTTTCTAGGTAACTACAAAGGCAGAGAAAATGACTTAGTAGGCTTTTATTATGATTGGATAAAACAGTGTTTAACAGTTATCATGCTAAAAAAAATTTAAAAAGGAAATATTTTGGCAACAGTCTTAAATCTTTTGGGACAGAAGCCTTAATCTTTTGTAATGGATTATGCCTGTATTTGAGATTTTATGGAAAAGAACTGGCCTGTCTGGCACTATTACAGCTGCCATGGCTTAGGAAATCAAACTGCTTCAAAGATTATTCTAGTTTCTATGTCATGTTCTAACATGCAACATATGCTCCTTCCCCTTCCAAATGAGCTGTGGTAGAGAAAACAAGTCTTATTGGCATGCAACACCATTTTTTCTTCCCATAACCAGTAAGTTTCCAGAATATGAAGACTGAAACAGTGTTTTTTCCTTGGCAAGGTGCATGTGGCAGGACAGAATTTGCATTTGTTTTCTTATTCCCCATTAAAGCCATCTGTTGCATCACATATTATTACTATTACAAGTTCTTTTAGACACTCATAGATACGGATGGCACATGTCATACAATTACAAGATAGGGTCTCTGCCCTGAGCAGTTTATAATCTGAGGACACAGAATTTAGAAGTATACACATAAAATGTTTTCTAGTAAGCTGTCAGATTTGACATTTCATTTTGTCAGGCATGAAAGGTTTCTGAAAGCAATGGAATAAAGAAAACATTCTCACAACAATATAAGAAGAGCCAAAGAACTCACTGATTGTCATGGATGGGATTTCTCCATTCCTCCCCTCGTGTTGGGTCTCTGGCCTTGGCTGGTGATGCATACATGGACTCTCTCACTCGCAGAGTTGGTTCCACAGGCTTGTAGCGCTGCTGCAACACTTCAGCAGGATCGCGGAACGGCCCCTGAAAAGTGCAGGAGAATACAAGTGCTCTGTTTGGGCTTACAGTTCTTCTCTTTCCCCTCTTTTGTTCATGGCATATCGCTGACGAAACGGGACACAGAATGTTTGGGAAGTGTAGCAAGACTCTTCTCCCAAAATAATCAAAGCTGTTCCTTTTGATAGAGACTTACAAATAACATAAAGGTTGATAACATACTCTAAAGCGTCAAAGAGAGTGCACTCCAAATTTATTTACCTACTAGTAAATACTTAAAATTTTAAATAAATGTATTGTTAGAACTGATTAGGAAAACTTTGTTTTTACTTAGAAAAAAGTATTGGTGAAATAAAAAACAATCATTAACTATATCTAAATTCTGCTTAAGCAGAAAACTTAAATATTTTACTTTGCATAGAACAAACTTCAAAGAGCATTCTCTTTTCAATGTAACTGTAAACCTACCTTGAAGGGAACTTAATGCATGGCTTAAGACATAATTCTTCTAACAGAATTCAAACACGACTTCAGTACTATAGGCACATAGTCCATTTCTAAAAGATCTAATTTCACATTAACTTTGTAATTCTTAAAAAAATACACATACACGTCTTTTTTTTTCCAGAGTATATTGTTTATAACTGATTGTATCAGTATCTACCATTTAAAAACGTGGATAAATAGGAGGAAGTCCTCTCCTGTGCTGCTGAAGTGACATATCCTATATGTCTCACTTCTAGTATTAACCCTTAAGAACTTACCTGGAATATAATTAGTGCTCATGTCACTCATGGCAGTTTAATAACAAGCCTGAACTTAGAAGTATTAAAATTAATTTTTATTTTCATCATTGTTGATCTTGCAATGAACTAGTGAAACCTTTTGAAACTATGAACAGACAAAGAAACCTAATCACAGCCTTTATTCTTAAAGATATCCTTCTTTGAATAGGTTATCACTAACAAGTCACAGCTGGAGTTACTGCAAGCACTGAGTGAAGACTGTGGGGCTAATAAAAAGAAATGATTCACGCCTCATTTATGTTCACTTATGTTTTACATTAATAGAAACCAATAATAGGAACCAGTTACCATAAAAGTCATGGACCGTAAATAACACAAATGGCAAATAAGTATCATCTAGTACTTTTCACAGCTGGACAGGAGGATTGCTATATTTAAAAGTAGTTAATGGATTTTTATTGGAACTTTATTTTTTAAAGGCACAGCACCAAGATTTTGAGATCTTTTTAAAGGTCCCAGTAAGCAAATGAGCATAATATTTACACTTCTTGCAGATATTTTCTTGCTTCTGTTTTCATGGTCTGCATGAAAAATATGTTCATTTTAAAAGAACACAAAAGTCTTAAAACAGAATGAAAAGTGCTACCGCCTATGAGAGACTACTTACTATTAGAATAGGTCATTGAAACTAGTCAACAGTGTTTAGTAATACATAACCTGATGATCAAGTTAAAAAAAAGTTTAAAATTTATAATAAAATTGAATATTCTGTTACAAGATGTTTGCATTAAGTGGATATATAGAGGAAGGAAGAAAGACAAGTACTATTACCAAATAATACCAAGAAAAATATGTTTAATTTTAAAAGTAGTCTTTCAGAATATTGTATTATTTCTTCACTGAAAAGTACTGACTCATCTAACCTCCAGGTTATAATCAGATATCCAAGCAAGGGGTTTTCTCCATCTTTAGTTTCTGAGACTACTAATAGAAGGAGAGGGAGAAAGGATGTAACTAAGTAAAGGTCGCTCAAAATAAGGCTATGACATCACTAATGAAAGCAGAGTATATATATTAGAATACTGAGATAATTCTAAACATTCCCTGAAGATTTTCGTGTTCCTCTGAATCATGTATTTGAAGAAATTTAGTTAGTAATAGGGACCTCAGGAATGTATCTTAAACAAAGACCTCTACAAAGTCCATGTGTCTATTTCCATTTTACAAGATTAAGACTTGTGGAAACTCTGGTAGATTGGTGCTTAAAAAACGTTTTCAAATTGACAATGTTTGTAAATGTTCCAGGCATCCTCTTCAAAATGGAAATCTTTATGGGGAGGTCAGGCTTGGAAAAGAATGGTAGGAGTTGACCAACAATGTTTATCCTGAAGGAAACTCACAGAGCTCTATGCTCTATGTTTGGACTTTGTACTGAGTAGCATAAGTCTCCTTAATACCAGCTGGTTTGCCAAATAAAGGTTAGCAGATTGGCATTCTTACTACTTTATCATAACATCAGAAACTCATAATAAAAAATACAAACTGCATTAAATTACGCATTCCTCACTGTCCCCATTCCACAACAGATAACAGCATGCAAAAGATCTAAATGGTAATGTGCATTCTGTTATTAATGCCTTTTAATGAATAGATGACTAATTTTAGCATTATCTGTGTTTCTATCAAACTATGATTCTAGTTAACTCAGTAATAAAAATGATAGATCTAACTGATGGAGAAGCACCATTAAAACCTTTCTATTAAATACACTATCTTATATACACAGACCTTACCTATTAAATGCTAAATACCCATTTCCCTAAGAGAAAACTGAAAGATAGTCAATTTTTTTTTCTTTTAAACATATATAATTGACATCCTCATGTAAAACATCTAAACCTAGGGGCAATAAAAATTTTAGATACCTGAAAAAAAGTAACAAGTGAGCCAGGCAGATATTAGGAAAGGAAGCTTGGTGCCAAAAAGTGTTACCACAAAGAACGAGGACACAAGTATATCTAGTAATTAAATTTCTTATGGTCACACCAGACAACTTTCAGGATGTGTTCTGGTGGGTTTTCATTTCCAGCTGTTTCATCAGCTCAAACCAATGTCCTTTTCTTAGACATACAACCCTAAATTGTCAAAGTGTTGTGCAGGGATTTAGCCGTGTGACTCCCATTAACATCAATAAGAGTCGGGCAGCTAAATCCACGCACTGTGCTTTGAAAATTTACCCCACAGTGTACATCCCAGGGTGCTGAAAGGATTAAAGTATTATATAGTAAATTCCCTCTTTGAGGTGCAGAAAATAAACAGAACTCTTCTGGTTTGTTCTAAAAGGCTATCTGTGCATGACTGCTGTGTGTGCATCTGAACTTAGAAAGGTCTATAAAATATTCCAAATCCAAGCAAAAGCTTGTAAGATACTTTGTATACAGTAAAGCAATTTTGCAAGAGCACCTTAACAATGGAAGAACTGTGAATTCCCTATTTATTTAAAAGCCTGATTCCTCACCATGTTCACAAGGCAAAAGCTTTCCTCTTTCCTGAGAGACAATGCAGCCAGTCACATCCTGCTCAAGGACTGTCATAGCCCCTTGGTCCCAGAAGGTAAAGCTATAATGTCATGTTTATGTCAACTCCAAACTCCCTGATCACCCAAACTGCCTGTTGGCTCACACTTTGTCTCAATTCTAATGTGAGTCAATGAGGTCATTCTATGAGGAATCTCAAAGCAGTCAGGATAGGGACAACACAAGGAAGGAAGGACAAAGGTGGAGAACTGCCCTGAAGTTGATTCCTACTGTTATAAGCAGTGGGCTCACCTCTGCTTCTCCAGATTCATTCTTAGAATCACAGAATCACAGACCTTCTTAGAATCATAGGATCATAAAGGTTGGAAAAGACCTCCAAAATCATTGAGTCCAATCTTTGACCAAACACCACCTTGTCAAACTAAACCATAGCACTAAGTGCCATGTGCACTCATTTCTTGAACATTTCTGGGGATGGTGACTCCACCGGCTCCTTGGTCTGCCTGTTCTAATGCCTGACCACCTTAAAGTGAAAAAATTCTTCCTGATGTCCAGCCTGAACCTCCCCTGGTACAGTTTGATGTTATGTTCTCTTGTCCTGTTGCCTGGGAAAAGAGACCAGCCCTCACCTGGCTTACAGCCTCCTTTCAGAGAGTTGTAGAGAGCAATATTGATTCAGAGGAGTAAAACACCATTAAAGGTATATGTATATATACATTGCTTATTGCTCAAGTTGTTACATTTCTGCAGATAGGTGATAGTTTCACTGAAAGTTGCTAAGAAGGACTCATTTAGAAGTATTGTCTTTCTAAACAAGATACAAATAAGGAAATTTAAATATAGAATGGAGTACTAAATGGAAAAGTGTCAGAGGTTCTAAAGATGTTGTTTCACTCAAAATGAAACCAGCATGGAAAGTGTATGTGTGAGCTAAGCAGAAGATTCAGTAGACTGGGCAAACTGAAAAATTCTTCAGAACAGAGGGAAACTCAAAATATTTCTATCCCTGAAGTACTTGTATAGGCACCTACTGGCAAAAGCTACATTTCATTGTACTATCATCAAGTGTGGAACACAAATTTCTCAAAATTTTTTTCTGCTGTATATATTATTGGTCACATTCCCAGCAGGTTTTGATAATAAGGGAGCAAAAGCTGTTTTACTATCTTGTGAAACATTTGCTTTGACGCATTATCCCACAGATGTCCATAACTCTACAGAAAAGGAAAAAATCTACCTGCCAGATACGGTGACATTAACTGAAGTTAAAATTGAGACTATGACAGTTAATAATGGAAGCTGGGCAAATTGGTTGTGATGGAGCAGAACATGTAGAAATCTTTGTTATTAAAGCTCTCACACATCTAGTGGACACAAGAGAGTAGGAACTATTCTGAACTGAGAGGATGCCTCAGTCTTCATATGGAAAAAAACTGCAAACTGAGGACAAAGTTATCAACAACTGCTTAATTTTTCCTATCACCTTTAATTTCTCCTTTTTTTAATGATTTAAGATTGGAAATTAAGAATTCTAGCTCTAATTAATCATAATATTGATACTCAATAATATCAGGTCATACCTTTGAAATATCATAAATTACACTTTTTTTTCCCAAAGGACAAAAACAACATATAAAAAATTAATATTTCCCTGTTTCTACATAACACATAGATTTCTTTTTTCTTTAAGTCAAATCTGTGTCAAAGACTTTATATCTTCAATGCAAGCACTAGATTTATATTTTAAAAAAACATTCACAAAAGGGATTTTCAGACTTGATGATCCAACTCAAGATATTCTGTGATAATCTCTGATAAAAGATGTGAGCAAAAGCTGCCGCAGAGTCACTGGAACGTGTTACCTGAGGTTTCTGTCTGTCAGCAGGTAGCACAGGCAGTGATGTGACAAAAGCTGGAGGCTCTTTACAGGTTGGCCAGCAATAGAGCTCATCAGCAAAGGGACTCTTCACTTGCTGCTTCCTGTGGGTCAGTGGCTTTGACTGCCGTAGCAGCAGTTCCATTGGATCTGGGGATTTCCTGAATGGCGAATTGTAGACGCCTGGAATCTGAGCAGAAAATGGGATCATCTTTGACTTCAACTCATTTAAATTTCTACATAAACTATGATCAAAATCAGACAGTGGCACCTGCTGCACTTTTAAAAGTAAATCAGTCAAGTTAGGAGAAATAATTAAGGAGAAATAGGAGAGAATTTTTGGAATATCAAAACCAATAATTGCTTTTTTCCCAACAAAATGTCCACAATAAATTCCTGAACAGCTATTACAATGTGTTTAGACTTAACAGCAGAAAACACATGAAAAACAAAAATTTAGCACAATGATTTCTAAATTGTGACTAAAATAGAAAGGTTCATTTGCCACTGAATTTGATTTTTTTTACATCACTGATTGTATGACTAGTGTGGTATAATATAACAATTACCGATATAAAACACATATTTCAAATTCTGTTTTAGCAATCTACATCTTTAACAATCTGTGAATATCTGGCAAGTCAAAATTATGTGACAACTGTTCCCAAATCATACCTATATATGCAGGCATTTTATCAGTTGTATATAAACAATTCCCAAATAGACATATGTGAGTTTACTGAATTAATTATTAACTGTTATATATGAGAATTACTTTTCCATATTGCACAAAGCCACTAAATTTCCCATAAAACAGATGACAAATGATTAAAATATACAAAAATTAATTTAAAGATACAGGGTTGTTTAAAGATAATTATATTTTCTATAAAGGTATACTAAAACTTTTAAAGCAGACTTGCTCAGTTAAAATATATTTTCCTTTGCATTTATCATAATTCTACTCACTAGAATAAATTTTGAATAAAAGTAGTAGGGAAAGAAATTGGTTTCGAGATGCGTGGAAAGTTAAAGAAAAGAGTAAATATTTAAAATCTTGTATTGCTCTTTTGGAGCACTATTGAGGACCCATGAGAAAACTGTGTAGTGCATCAGCCTCTTCACAAAGTATTAAACTCTTGGGGCTGAGAGGACAGAACTCTCCCCAATGAGCTCTAATGCATTTTTCATTAACATATCCTACTGGAAAGTTCCAGTTTCTTGTGTCAAAAAATTAAATAAGGTACATATAAAACATATGGTCTAACAGATACTTTTTTTAAAAAACTATTCAGCTTCTTCAAAATAGTGTTGGGCTATTTAAAATTTTAAAAGCTACCTTCTTCATCTCTAAATTGTACGGGTCTAATGACAATTTATTTTGCTTCTCTGTTATTTGTTCCCCTCTTAGAGCATACCCTACAAACTGTTTCATTAATGGGTAAAATGTTCAGTGGGAAAGAGGACTTGAATAGAGGTAAGTGGTAGAAACATAAGTATGCCAAAAAACCACTGGCTGTTCCTTCAGCTTCTCAGGTTGCCAAACTAGAATGGTGGGGATCCATGCTTCAAACAGCAGGCAAGAGAACCACTGGAGTGAAGGGGAAATTCTAGGTCTGTCTCTCTGATCTGTAAAGTCCAGCTGCAACTTAATCTTTTGTTCTGCAGATCTCGCTTGTTCTCACATAAACATCTCATAAAGTCACAGATTCTCCTCATGCTGTTATTATTTTCATAGTACTTCATGCATTGTTATATTGCAATTTTCTTATCAGCCCAGTAGAGTTTTGCCTGTGACCACTCGGTGATCTGTAAGTGCTACATAAAGAGAAGTTCCATGGGCTGTCTTGAAATTTATTGCACTCTCCCACAATTGTTGAATGCAGTTATACCATATACTTCCTACACAAATTTTCTCAAATATAAAATGCCACAGTCAATACAAATTCCATACAAATGGAATGCATTAGAATCACGCAAATAAGATCCCTCACTGGAGATACACAAACCATCTCTATGCCATGGTCATTACACACTTCACTCATTAGTCCTACCACAGCCTTTGAATCTGCCTACATTATGAAAAATTAAGTTTTGCCTTTATTATGTTGATGACAGTAAATAGAAAAATAATAAGCTTTTTCACATATTTCACTGAACTGTTCACTGCGTTGTTGCTTCATTTTTCCACCCCTTCCTGCACCATCCATACTCAGCTGTGGAGACTGTTTTCTAGACATGCCACGAGTGTGCAGAGGTTCCCAGCCATGGGGAGAGACCCTGCTCTCATGGTATGTCTGTGAAACATATTTTATAGAAAGTGACAGTGGCACTGAAAATTTAAATACTATCCAGAAGAGAAACATCTCCATGCTCATCACTGAGAATCAGGGTGATCTGGAAGAAAACACTAAGGCATAACATCTCTCTAAAGTTGGCAGGCATGGATTTGTTGATTGGTAACACATCCTGATCAGGGCTGAGTCTTCCCAAAATTTACACCTCTTTTTAAGCCTTTTCTTAAAAAAAAAAAAAAATGCTGAAGAGCAAATTGAAAAGGAAATATTTAATTTTTTTTTTAACTGAAAAAAAATTAATTGTTCTATTATTTCAATCTACATAACACAGGTTTGGGGTTTGGGTTTTTTACTCCAAAGTCTAAAAATACAGTATCTGAAATAATTTAAATGTTCTTCCTCTGGAGAATAAAATGCAAGAATAACTTTAAATCGATGTTCTGTCTAGGTTACTTCTTTTAGTCACACTGAGAGATAGTGTCTCCATGAGTAAAATGGCTTTCTGAAACTGCATTTTGAAATCTCTATTAAAATACTGTGTATATTCTATTTTGTGCTTCTTTGATTAAATGTTTGGTAGTAATAAAAAGCTATAGTTCATAAAGAGTTCAAACACTGTGAAATGCTACTGAGTATCACCAAGAGCACTAATAAAATTGGCTTTTAGCACTTTTAATGAAACCAAAATTAGCCATAATAAATGTGGAAATCTATTGATTCAGTGTCTTTGGAATTATTATTGCCGAACAGGTGTCTTAACAAAGAATCATCTTTTGTTACCCTTTTTTTACATACTCTCATGTTAAATGCATACAGATACTATATCAACTGTGAAAATGGATTTGTAGTTTAGAGAGGCCAACCAGACACTTAAAAAGTTTTTGCTTCTTCTACAGGTGAAACTCTTTGTATGATATGGGTCAAAATTGATTACAAAATGCATATTTCAATAATGATTTTTCAAGCAATCCTTGTTAATTACTTTACATTTTAACTATATATGTTGAAGTATTCAACAAGACACATAACAAAGCAATCAACAGAGATAGTATCTAGACAGATAAAATTAATACTAATTTATTCTAAATTCCCCAAGGTTTGTGGTAAGGTTAGCCCTAGATTTAAAATTGGTAAAGTATGGTAGGAGAGACAAGAGGATGAGTTTGATTCTACTTTCCAGTTTAGATCAATCACTGGAAAAATTGCTTCCATTCTTTTTTAAAAATATCTCTGCAAGTTTTAGTCTTGTTTTTGGAATTTCTTGTGCTGTGCAATGTGGTGATGAATACCCTATTCATTCTGTCCTCTGCAGGGAGCTGGCAGTCTACAGAAATCTAAGAATTTCAAGGATCAAAGCCTTTGGTACTTAATATATTTGTATATCTTCTTGAGACAAATACAATGTATTAAAAGCATTACTTCATTTTCTTTCCCTACTTTAATAAAATATTCTCTCAACCACAAAACCATTGTACTTAATACTGCTTTTTCAATGGTAGAAAAGTATCTGTCTTGGATATTATCCCATACTGTGATTTCAATATTTTTCCCACCTTTAGTCCATAAGAAAATATGTAACACTCCAAATTACCACAGATTACAAAAAAGTACCTCTTGTCTGCAGGGAGAACAATATATTTTTCTGTACCCATGCTCTTCAACACTAAGAAGGACCTCTGTCAAAGCCAGATTTCAGGACTTCATTTCCAGGAACAATTTTCTAAAGTGACAAACACTATGGGAAAATCTGTGCTAACTGTTAAAAAAACTTAAGCTGAGTTATTTGCAGTACTGTCATGCTAACTTCCACCTCAATAAAACCAAAGAAATCTCAGGAGGGGATTCTGCTAATAGCTTCTTACTGACCTCCTTACATCAGGCCCTTCTGGTAAATGGTGGCCCAGTGGTGAATATGGCAAATGAGGTGTGAAAGCAGAGATTTTTTTTTTAAGACGATGGTTCTGACTCATCAGGGAAAATAAAAAAAAAAAAGAAAAAAAGAAAGAGTGAGAAAGAGAAATGAGTTATACAATAGATGTATTTTCCCCTAGAATTCTCTGCCTCAGACCTTCCATCATGGAAACCCAAGCATGACCTGGAATATTAATTGCATCAGGTCAAGCATACTGGCAAATGTACCATTTGTTACGCAGTCATCCTTAGTATTACATTAATATTTTGAATTCTTCTGCATTTCTAAGACTCTATCATTTAGTTTCCTCCCAATCATTTTCTTATCTTTATAATTAATGCTCAAATATAAAGGAAGAAAAAATCATAAGGAAACAAATATTGATTTAATAAACATTAGCAAGGAAAAGATTTAGGGATTTTATGGTCTGAATTGCTTCCACCACTAATGCTGTATTTACTCAGTGCTAAAGAAGATCCATTTTTGTCTTTTCCTGTTTATCATTTCGATACAGAGAGCAAGAGTTTACTCTTTCTATCTATTTTTTTTTTTTTCAGAATAAAAGAAGAAAATTATTAAGGAGTTTCCTTGAAAGCTAACTATGAATTATGGCAGCAGCAAAAGAAATTGAAAGAAGGAAGTAACAAAGAAAGGAAAGAAAAAGGTGCAGGTAGAAGGGGAAAAACAAGGCTGTGTTGACCATGCTGGACAGTACATCGGAAAGACAGGTGATCCCAAATGGTATAATAAATCCTGAGCAGTTTAGATTCTGAAACTTCAATTTATTAATTATTTATTTATTAGTCTTCTTTCGTACTTCTTGGCTGAGCTTTTGAAGTCTATGTAAAAAATTGCAAACCAAATATGTTCTAAGATACAGCACAGCTATTGTATTGCAAATGATAATACACATGCAAAATTAAAAATTGACAAAGTTGAGCTGAAGATAAATTGCAAGGATTAAATCAATAGAAAGTGTGT